CACATCAGGCAGAAACATGCTCCTTTGATACTTGTGGTGGTGTTATTTTCTCAGCTTGATGTACGTAGTTTAAAGTGAACAGTTTTCGGTGATCGATCTCCATACTCCTGTTGTTGGCTGAATTTGTGTGTGGCTTCTGTAAAACCTGAGCTCTTCCAGACCATCTCAGCCCCTCTCTGCTTTGTGTAGCTTTAGGAGTTTCTGAAAGTATTAGGGAGTATTTGTGTTAACAGCCTAGACAGACCTTATGCCTTAGAAAATTGAGTTTTTCAAAACTGATCCGTGTTCGTCAGATTTTGCTGCTGCTGCAGCTAGTGGGAGTTTCCTGAGTGCCTGGCCTCAGGATCTGCCTGGTGAGAGCAGAATTCACACCAGGCTCTCAAATACCACCCCTGGACTAAGAAAAGGCTCTGTTACTAAGTCTGTATCTGAAGCTTTTGGCAAAATTGGATTTATTCCACGGAGCAGGTCAGGTTTCCTGAACAGTGAGGCTGGGAGACCTGTCCCCATAGGGTACCAGGGCCTTCAAGATGTTGAGTAGCTGCTGTAGGGTGCACTAAAGCCATCACTGAAAATGCTCCAGATGCTGCATAATGAAGCCTCTTGTAACAAGGCCCAACTGTTCTATCGAAAGAGTGCTTTAGCTCCCTTTCCATCAATAGAGATATTCCTGCCTTCCAACAGAACGGGTCAAAATTAGGTCTGTTGTCCCCATTTGCTCAAGCCTGATAAACAGAAACTGGTCCTAAATTAATACAGCAAATTGCAGCTCAGACATGAGAGCAGGACCAGAGCGTGCCAAAGTGGTTGGCAGCTACCACTGGCTTTCTTCACAGCATTGTCTCCCCGTGGGGTTTTCCCAAGATCAGTATTTCCTCAGCCCAGAACTTTTGGTTTTTTCTCAGAAGCATACTTTTTTTTCCCTACCACCACCTTCTCTGCCATAAACTTTCTTTTTTAGAGCTGTCTCATGACCTCCGTTTTAAGCCCAAACCCTGCAAGATGTAGGCACCAAAGTCCATGGCTCATGATGGGAGCAAGGTAGGTGGACACCCCAGATGATGTGTGCCCTGGCTTTCGATGGCCATGACACTGCTCTGTGGAGATGTGCCAAAGGAAAACTCATTTGGAGTTTGCACACCAGGAAAAAAAAAAAAAAAGAGTCCAAAGGAAGTCATCCCATGCATCATACTGGGCATCAGAGGTGGTCTGGGTCTTCTTGGTGTCACCAACCCCTTTTGCACCACTGCAGGAGCTGAGATCACTCAGTTGCTGGTGGCCCAGTGCATTCCTCAGTGTCCAGAACTGGTAAAAGTGAACAGCACTGGGGTTTCCCTCCCTTTCTGTGCAAGTTCTCGTTTTTCTTGTGGTTTAGGGTTTCATCCATAAAGCTAGCTATAGTGCCCATTACTGGTGTTGGGCTCCCAAGGTGCCATTCTGAAGTTAGTGTGGGATTGACCAGTGTTTTTTGCAGAACTCAGGTCACCCTAAAGCATTTCAGAGAGTGAGGCTGAAGTATGGAGGCCTTGCTATTTCCCGTGAAACCAGTGAGGTGTGTCAGAGACCCAAGCTGTAATGCGATGAAGGACTTCAGAGGGAGAAGCAAAACCCAACGCAGCAATTAAAATTTTCCAGTGAGTTAGGAGGAGCAGGGGGCTGTTTGAGGAAAGGTGGCAAGGACGGGGAGGACTTTTGCCTTTTGATGTTGGTGCAAGCCCATGCCCTTTTACTGGGCTTGACCACATTGCTTTCTGCGTTGCAGATGCCAGACAGAGCTTACTGCTTTTGTGGGAAATAACAGACCTGGTAGCAACATTCATAAAAGTTGTGAAATAATGGGTTAGCTCAGGTTTTGGTGAGCACTGCTGCAGGATGGGTGAGGAGGATGGTGCAGAAAAGCCACCTCATGCTGCTGCATGCAGCTCCAGCCTGAGTGGGTGCTTGCACTTCTTGCACGTTTATACCTCAGTGGGGAACAACATACTGAGCAGAGCCCCTGCTCTGTGCTGGGAACTGGGGATATGTGTAGGCGGGTGAGCATTTGAAGGTTGTTTTTTTGGGGGTTATTTTTTAATCTCTGGTCCATGGTGCAGCCTTTATGTAGGTGCAGGAGTCGTAGCAGAGCCAGGGAGCTGCTTTGCAGAGCACGGGTATGTGTAATTTTTTCCATTGTCTTGCAGTTTGTATAATTAGTTTCTAAAATCATGTAAAAAAAAAAAAGTATTTGATGAGAGGATTTACCAGGGAAGAAAGACCTGAAGTCTTCTTGCCTTTAGCACTATCTGTCCTATGGTCGCAAAGTGGCTACCCCCAGCCCATGTGCACATCATCTTTGAGCCAGCGTCAGGATCTGCCTGAGGCGTACAGTAGCGAGGGATCTGCAGAGTCAAGGCTGGGCTGTATGTCCCTGTTAGAAATCTGTAGGGTGTTATTAGCGGGGTGTTATATACAACAAAAATCCGGCACCCTGCCAGCGCATCAGGCTGTGATAGGGATAGGCTTCAAGGTACGGTTAATACAAAATACAGTGCTACCGCCTGTGCAGGGATGTAAACTGGACGCTGTGTTAGTTGACAGCTCAAAGAGTTGTTCATAGTGCCTTCAAAAATAATATGCTGCTTTTATAATTTTTGCAGGGGTACTCCTCAGCTGCACTGTCCTGACGTTGAAGGGGAAATGCTGTCTGAAAATAGAAGAAAACTCTATTTTCCTGCCTGGGGTGAGGTAGCGTGTTGCAACTCCAAGTCTCAAACCGCAGTTGCGGAGGCACAGCGAGAAATACTCTCATGGAGCATCGTCATGGGATCGTTTATAGTGCCAAAGTCCTACTACTGCATTAAAAAAGAAAAGAAAGAAAGAGGAAAGGGTCCTTGTACATAGGTTTCTCCTTAGCTTCTCTCCCACCTGCTTTCCTGCCCAGGCTCTTCCTCTACTGGAACAGATTTGTACAATGTGGAAATTTTGTTACCTTTTTAATAGGTGCAAGTTATTCTTGCATATAATGCCATTGCAAAATTTGGGGGTTGGTTTGGGGGAGGGAAGTGTCTTTTGTGGGGGAGGGAGAGGAGAATTTTTTCCAAAGCATTGTAAGACAGATTTGCAATCTTTTGGAGTCTTTGGATCTCATGCAGATCAACATCTGAGCCCAGATCCCCACCCTGGTTTACATTTCAGCCCACTTAAATGCATTATGGGGTTGGGGAGGGTCGTTCTGGAGTGGTTGGGGTTTGATTTTTTTTTTTCTTGTTGTTTTGACTTTTTTGTTTTGTTTTATGGCCACTTGCTACTGGTTGAAGTATTTAAATCTCAGCTTTTCCGTGCTCCTACAAGGCGAGTCTTCTCCAGCTCCTGTACTTTGTTTTTCCCAAGCCAGCCCCGGCCGTGGGCCTGTCAAGATTTGGCTAGAATGCCTTTTTTTTGTTGGGTTTTTTAGCACTTTTTGTTTAAACATGCAGTACAACCCCCAGGGGGGTTGGAGCAAAGAAATTAAGATGCTTCATAATCCAAACTTGTTTGTGTTTCTTCAGCTGGTACAACGATGGACACCATAACCAACAGTCTACCCTCCAGCTTTAGATGTTGTAGCGCACAACAGAAATTTCTGATTAATCCTTGCCACTAAATTTTTAGATCAATCCTAGGTTCCCGAGTGCACTTTTTTTCAAATACTGCTAATTTGGATTTGTGTGGGGGTGTCTGTCCATGCATGTGTGAGGAGGAGGAGGGAGAGTGGGAGCATGGGTGCGTAGGCGAGCGGGTGCGAGAGCCGTCCGGTGCGTTCCTCTGACGAGCTGGGTTCGGAAAATTTACCAACCTTTCAGTACGCTGCACAAATACAATGCTAGGGAGTTTGAATAAATCCAACTTTTCTAACTTGTTGCTCTTTTGTTGTAACTCAATAAAACAAAGGCTAAACATTTTGGTAACCTTTTTCTCGTCTGTTTTTTTTTTTTATTTTATTCCATTTAAAACCCAAACTCGGCCCCCACCAGCTCTCCTTGGTGCACGAGAGCTCAGTGTCTTTAGATCCGTGATTAGGGTTTTAACTGGGTTTGCAGTAATCGGCTTGGCAAACACTAACCAGATTAAAATGAACTTGGTGAGCTACTGACATTTATTTCCCTGATATTTGATGTCTGTTCCCTGCACCAGGGGGTTGGATGGCACCTGGGAACGGGGATTTGGGGGCACCTTTATTTTGTTTGCAATCACAACCTGAATGAATGAATGAATGAAACTGTCCCTATGACTCACCCATATGGAATTATTTTTATTAATCATCAGCACAACATTTAAGTGTCGAGGGAGGTTTGCAGTGGGCTGCAGTGAGTGCTCAGCGACTTTCCTTACAATAAAGTTATCTGGTTCATCGATGAACAGAAGTAACTGGATGGGGCAGTGCTTGCACTCTCTGTCTTTGCGAGTCACGGGCCAAGGGCAAGAGGTGGGGAAGCAGCCTCGGCTCCTCCGCAGACAGCGGCAGCCTGGCAGCGAGTACGCGCATGTCCCATCGCACACGGCACTGCGCATCGGGCTCCTGCGTGCATGGAGGCGGACGCCTGCACAGTTGCTTCGATACCCCCTGCCTGGGTTGTCAAATCGATGGATGTAAGTGTCAGGTGGCCAAAAAGAAAATGCCTCTGAGGACACTCCTCCAGGACTCCGAAGTTATAACTGAAACTAATTGCCACTTCTGTCTGCTTTGCTTACATGAAAAGGATGCTAATATTTTAATTGCCCTTGTGCAGTTTTTAACAGCCACTTGGCAGCTTAATATTCCCGTTTGCGTCTCTCCTGCCTGATGTGCGCGTACGTCTGTGTGTCTGAAGTGCTGACCTACTTTGCTTAACCAGCAGCGCGCCCAGGGAGCTCAGCAGGAGGTTTAGGAAGAACAAGACCCACCTGGGTTTTTCTGTATTTGTACAGCCCCAGACATGGTGGGATTAGGGGCCAGGACTGGGGCGCTTTAAGATCTCTGCAATTCAAATAAAACAATAGCAGCGGCCCTGGAGTCTGTCATCACACGGTTAATAAAGCTGAAGCTCTCCCACAGCAAACGGGTTTGCAAAAGCCGGGCACGGCCTTTGCCGGCGTCGGCAGAAGGGCAGCACTGGGTAGGTTTGCGCAGGCAGGTTGCAGTGTGATACCAAACCTTCAGACAGCAGGTTTCACGGGGAAAGCTGATCCCCTGGCCCCTTTTTTTTAGCTTAAGGCAACCCAGGTCCCCACAAAGATTGCTTCAGTGTGGCTGCCGGAACGGGTTCGCAAACTGGGCATTGCAAGCAGGCTTTGTTTTTAATTAATACCGCCGCAGTGACTGCGTTTCTAGGAGAGTCCAAGCAGTGAGGCACAATCAGGACATTGTTTGTATGCGTCGGCCATTAGGGACAGCCTTGGCCATGGGGTTTTGTTGCACATGGATGAAAATAGGCTGCTGACACCGAGGTCCCTCCTGCACAGCCTTGCCTCCCAGGTGCAGGAGCCTGGTGGTTGCACCACAGTGCATGGCTGAGAGCGAAGCCCTGCAGTGAGGGGATGGCTCGGGACAGCCTTTCCTGGGAAGGGTCCCCAGGGACCAGCAGTCCCTGGTGCTCAGGTTTTGACTGACATCTTTCACGATGTGTTTTAACCTAAGTCTCTTGAAATGTTCTAATCAGAAGAAATCTAGTTAACACAAACACACACACACACACAAAAAAAAAAACCCCACACCACCAACCACCAAAAAAAACCACCCACAGATTTTTTTGCGCTTGTGCAACACCTTTTTTTAATGTGGCTTGTAGAAAAATCCATCACTTGGAAGCCAGGAATGACTTGAATTAGGTGGCCTCTACTTTCTTAATTAAGTCTGCTTGTATGCTGACAAGAGGATGGGTTTTTCATTATATACACACATGATTACTTCTGCCTGGTCCATAAGATGCTGGGAAGGGTGCTGCTCAGTAAATGAGCTGCCGTTTGCTCCTTAGTGCTGTCAGAGATCTGGGGACTCCAAGCACGTAATAACACAGGTACAATTTAGGGCAGGTCATACAGAAGCTTTATTAAATGTGATCACGGTGAGACCACTCGGACAGCATGGAACAAGAGCATCACATAATGGTTTGAGTCGGAAGGAACCTTCAAAGATCAGCTCATCCAACCCCACTGCCATGGGCAAGGACATCTTTCATTAGATCAGGTTGCTCAAAACCTCGTCCAACCTGACCTTGGGAAGTTTTGGGGCAGAAACTTCAGTGTATATGAACTCCCTGCAGCCCAAATGATTCATTTTTTCACTTTTTTTTTTTTAAAAGGTGGGAGGGGACCAAACAAACCTCTTCACTTTTCAAGTACATTGCTGCAGTGGCACCATGTCTAACCTCAAATCTCCAGTGTTGACCTTTGGGAATTTCATTTGATGCATTGCTTTGAAAGTCAGCCAGCAAGTGGAGGGATTCTGCGTCTGCAGGGTGAAGCCCAGCAGTTGCAGGGATCACTCTCAGGAGAGGGGGTGTCCCAGCACCACATGGATTATCACAGGCTGGGGGGAGAAGTGCTGGGTTATGCAAGAAATCTGAGTGATTATGACCATAATGGTAATTATGTGGTGATAACTTACTTAAAAATCTAGAGAAATACACATGTAAAATGGCAACCAAGCTAAGTAATATTTATGCATTATATTTACCATTAGCAGAGATCTAATCACTGAACTTCCCCTACCATCTTCTTGTAGCCCTCAGATATCATTAGGTAGCAAAAAGACACATCCTGGAATCTTACTAGCTTACATAAGGGGTGGGGGGAGAATTAATTTTGAAGTCACATAAGGCAACATTGTAGGAAGTCCTTTTGGCATCCTGACAGGAAGGCAAGAGCACACCAGTGATGGAAAGGAACTTTTTTAATCATCTCCTGAAGAAAAAGAGACACCTGAGACCGTTTAGATCAGCAAAGTCCCCCCTTGACTTCTCAACTCATTTGGGCAGTAACTAATGGAAAGCTGTTATGAATGGGGCCTGTGGCTCTTGAGCATAATTCTGAAAATATTCATAGTACAACAGGAAAAGGGAATGTATCAAGCGTAAGAGAATGTGAGATACGCAATGAAAGAACAAAAAAGCAGCACAAAACCCAAGGCAGGGCTTCTCGGGTGTTACGCAGTTGAACCATATCCCAATCAGATTATTGCAAGCTCTAGCGAGGGTGGAGGCAAGAGCTGAGTGACCGGGTAATTGTCAGCCCCAATCACACAGCACACATCTTGAGCGCAATAAGCAAAACCGGGGGGGGGGGTTTCCATTGTTTTATTTCCATCAGACCTGATGCTCCAAAATGGTAGTTCTAATTCTATTACAATTCTCGTAATTTAAGTGTACTATGAAAATCACACAGCCAGAAAATTGGCTCAGGCACAGTAAGTGGGACAGCTACGAAGCTTCTTCAATACACAAACTCATCCTCTCCCTGCTGGTTTTTTTCTTTCTTAAAAGTCTATATCATCCCAGTGCAATATAACATGTAAAATTTAGCATGCAGCAATCTTAATCTAAAAAAATCATCGCTTTTGCAACACATTTATGGGATAAAGAAATAATACCATTAACCCAAGTTTGTGGACAAACTGAGACGTATGTAGTTATTCACAAGACTGCAGAATAAATGTGCTAAAGGCAAGAGTTGGAGTTCAGCTTGGCCTTGTCTTCAGTACCAGCAAGGAAGCTTCATTTTGTATTTGTATCAAATCGTTGCCATTTTGTAGGCGTTTGGGCTGGGATAGAGTTAATTTTCTTCATAGTAGCTAGTATGGGGCTATGTTTTGGATTTAGCATAAGAATAATGTGGTAACACACTGATGTTTTAGTTGTTGCTAAGCAGTGTTCATACTAAGTCAAGGACTTCCCAGCTTTCCATACTCTGCCAGCAAGGAGGTGCACAAGAAGCTGGGAGGGGGCACAGCCAGGACAGCTGACCCCAACTGACCAAAGGGCTATTCCATACCGTGTGACGTCATGCTCAGTATAGAAACTGGGGGCAGTTGGCCAGGGGCAGCAATTGCTGCTCGGGGACTGCCTGGGCATCAG